AGGTTTCTTTTTTTTTTTGGGAGGTAAATACCTTTAAATCCCCCGGTCCATTGAGGTATTGCTTGCATTTGGTGATTATATGCCTTAAGTAATTCTTACAATTTTTTTTAGTGCAGTCAAGGTAACAAATCATTATTTGTAGTTTACATTATCACATATTTTAGAATTACAAGCCTCATCACCCACCACTTTCTTTGCATAAAAATAAACTTATGGGCATTAGTGACATTTTAATAACAGCAGTTATCTTGTTATAGCTAGAGTACAGAAACTTGATTGTTCTCTGCATTTTTTTTTTAAAGTTGTAAATAAAGTTATATTTAAATTACCACAAGATACATGTTTTCTGCCTTCAGTAATTGATAAGACAATCCAGAAAATTGAGTTTTGTGCCTCAAAGATCATGGTACTTCCATGTGCCAGTGCTACTTGTCATTTCAGTGTACTGAAAATGCAGTTTAGTTTCCATTACAAAAGCCTTTTATCATAAGGCCACTCCAAACTACACCACTTCTACCCAAGTGCTGTTAGGGCAGAACTTGTGGAAGTCTACATTAATATTGTCAGTTTAACCTGAATAGGCAAGTTACATTTACTTGGAGAAATACATTTATGATTGCTGCATTTATATGGGTAATTACCATTAAAATTTGACTTAGCCTCAAACATAAGTCATTCTTTGTAAATTTTCCTTCTAGCTTAAACTACTCAAGCTTTCAAATTATATTATATAACATAAATACTACTACCTAAGAATTACCTTCACTATACTATTATAGTTTATAATTAATGTTCATTCACCACTCATTCAAAAGTTATTCAACTGAAAGTACAAATCATTACTGAATCTAGATTAAAAAACTTTTCTGCATCAATATTTATCTTAATATTATCCATGTCAAATATACTGTTTTAAAAGCTTTTGGATGTGAATGGCAATCTAAGTTACAGTATTCCTAAATTTAGGTTAACCATCTCTAGCCACAGATGTTCAATTGATTAATAGTAGACAAATGAACTTTAAACATTTTCTTACAATATTTTAACTCAAAATATTGGGAATTTAATATTTAGTTACACAGTGCTTAGTTTATTTCATGAATTTTAAAAAGAGGTAATTACTTGTGTGACTAGATATCCGAACTATAAAAACTAAACTGTTTGATTTCAATTTTTTGTCCGAAGGTTTCCAGTCTTATATTTCTCTAATTAAAATCAATATTTTTTGGTTATTGTGATGACTTTTCAACTGAATATATTATGAAGGTTAAAAAATTTAATGATTGTTAGCTTTGATAAATAAAACTTGAGAAAAACAAGACGAGTCAACTTTTTTTGCTAATACAATATTAAATAACTAATTATTTGGATATTAACCAAAAATGTTAAAGTCTGACAAAAATAATGCAATTTTCCAAGGTGTTGTCAATGTTCAACAAACAAATTTTACCTTTGTCATGCTTAGCAAGACTTATATAGTTAACTATGTTATATCAAAAAAATTTAGAACATCACAAATCTGACAATCATGCTTCTTGACAATAGCTTAACGGTACAGTTTCCACTGGAAAAGTTATTGCCGTCAAGCTATTATGTCCAAAGCACACCACTTCTCTCGTTTGCTGTCTGTAATCTAAAATATTCGAGGATGACATTTTCCCAGCACCCACTTCAGTCTAATCACACAGAAATTAATAGATACTATGTCTGGTAACTTGACCAGAACATGTTTGTATATAATAGCATGAATACTAATTTTATTCTCCAGTTGCTTGAGTTATAAGATAGTTCAATGGGGTGCATGACTGAAAGCCTTATTTCTGTGAACCTATACCCCTGTTAACCTTTAACTACAAAGAGTTGGAATAATAATAATAAATCATAATGTGCCATATAATACTTCTGGGAATTGACTTCATCCACCAACTGTTATAAAATGGCATAAAACTTTTACAGTTAAAAGGTACACATTTTGTCAAGTGGAATAAACTTGTGTATATACTTGAACAACTTTTCCTAATGAAGAGCCCTCTTGATTACACTGCATACTGTTGTTGGGGGAACATAAACATATTTTGCCACAGACTTTTTTGCACAAGAAGGGCTCTTACATACCCTTCATCAAAATTAGTTTATGGTGACATGACATTAACTAAAAGTTTGCCAAACAATGTCAAAACATAGTTCTGATACATGTCATTCCATCGAGACAATCAGTTGTGGCGGACATGCAACTTTCCAATTTGCATATTCAAAAATTGTTTTACTATAAACATAAATCTTGTAGAGGGAAGTATACTGCTTCACTAATAAAAACTTATACAGTATTTAGTCAAAAGCCACAGTAAATAGAGCAAGTTAACAGAATTCTTGCTTCCTGAAAAAAGCTACTTGTCATATTCACATGTCCTTTTCAGTTTCACATTGTCTCCTGGTAGAAAAACTGGTCAACAATGCCTAAGTAACCCCACTAAAAATTCCCTTAAGCATATAGGAGGTCAGGAAGTTCTTTAGCTTAAAGTGGTCTTGTCAGATGTTGAAACCAAGCTGGCTTTTGATTAAACATCTGATGTCTCTTTTACATGTAAAAACTAATAGCTGGAATCTCACATATGAAGAAAAATGATTATATATACAATTCTAGTTATTATTCCTAACATTACCTCTAGGGGCTCAGCCTTAATGTTATAGCCAATATAAAGTGGTTTTGCATTATCACTGGTTGGTCTTAAGTTTCATTCACTTTTCACACAACCCAAAAACAGTGCAAAACATTTCTTTGGGCCTATAAAATAAGCCACCCAACAATGCTTGAATATGAAATTAAATTATTCATAAAGTGGATAAAGGTAGACAATTACAAGAATTTGATAGTTCTGATACAAGTTAACACACAGGATCACACACAAAAGGCTAACAAATTTCAAAAAAAACTTTAGTGTTTTCAAATAGCTGACTAGACTTCATATGGATTTGACAGTACCTTAATTGTGGGAGTCATTAATTGATTAAATTTGATTAATTCATTTATCCTCACATATAACTGATAATAGAAATAATCAAAAAGTAATAAATCAGAAACTCCAACTTCAATTAATTTAATATTTCCATAACATTAACTGACATAATAGTAATATTTCATGAGACACCAATGACAAAGAGTAAAAGTTACCCAGCTCTGGAAGTGTAAAGTGAGAAGATATTCAAAACATTTATGAATTTTTTTTAATTATAACCTAATAAATTTTTTTTTAATTCCATCAATATGGAAAAAAAATAAAAAAATATTGATACCAGTACAAGGATTAATATATTTTCCAAGAATACTTTTAGAGTAAATAGGTTAATATTTCAACTAATCAGGTTGACTTAATAATATTAAGTACTGTTACTGTTTAGTCAATGCCTAGAAATTTCTGAAAAAATTAAATAAGCAATCAACATTTTTGTAAGCATATAAAGAATGGATACTATATTACCACATGTATTTTTAAAAAAACTATTTTTCCCTGACTAACAGTTACATTTGTAGCTCATAATAAGTAAACAAGATATAACATTAAAACTACTTATTTAAGCATACAAAGTAAACAGGAACAACAGACACAATCCGTCAATGTCAAATACGTGCATTTGCACCACATGCCAACAGTTGTAGTAACCAGCATTTGGACTACATGGAAAGTTGTAATAATTTAAAACAGCAATAACTAAAAACACTAATTTCAATTAGTTAATTACATTACATACTGATCAATGTTCATAATTAATTGCAACTCTACACAAAACATTATCAAAATGCAAGGGAAATCTAAGAACATAACATTGACCCATTGTTACCAACTTTTGTAATTACACACGTAATGTGTACAAAACAGCACTGTCATAGGTGTAAAATTCTCTACTTTAAACTTTCTGCTGAAAGTATTGACTGTTATTGTAGTATTAATAATAATAATTTTAAATTAAATGTTAACTCTTCAATAACATTTATAAAATACAAGATAAAACATACCTGCTGTCTTGGGTACTACATCTTGGAATAGCTACAAAGGAAAAATAAAATGCTTCATTAAACCACACTACATAACTTTAAGAGAGAAAGAAATAAAAAAATCAATAGTAATAAGGAATTCTTAGCTATACACTAGGGTGTATTTATACAATAAATTAAAATATAGTACAAATCCTACTATAATATGTAATTAATCAGTTTTCTTAAAATATTTGTAGATTTGTTAACATTTATTATCTACCCCCCCCCTTTAGTTTTTCTTACAATTCATTTACATTGCAAAATTTCAAAAATATTGTTACAAGACAATTCTAAGTATTAAAAATAAAACAATTTTTTTAAAGATAAAACACTATCACTTTAGAATTATTTTGTTCCCACTGCTTCATGAAGCAGAGCACATTGGTTTGCCAATATGTATCCATTCATATTTTTTTAACAAGATAAAGAACAAGTGGATGGACCAAACCTAAAAAGGCACCACCATACCAAAAGTTCAAGACCTCATTAACTTTTAGTCATTGTGGTGGAGCTTAAATATACAGTATAATATCACAGAGGTCACAGGTGTTTCATAAACACAACTTGCATTTGTTTCTACTATTCAGACAGTTATTTTATACATCCAGTCAATTTCAATGGCATTGCTTTTGATACCTTACCAGTTTCAATATATATAAAAATTTTTGTCAACAATATTCTTGATTAAAATCATTTATCTAAATAGCTTTTTTTTTCCTCAGACAAACTTTGTTGTTTTTTTTCTATGTGGTTTTAATAAAATAAACTTAATATCATCCATTTGTCATACACCAGCCAACCTGACAAGCCCTCATATTGGGCAACACATCATCAGCACTGGTATTTTGGGTCATCATATGGTCCTACATTTTTCTTCAGTTTCACTAACAAATTCTGAGAATTATTAATGTATTCTTCTCTCATCCAAACTGTGGTTGCTTGATCTGCTGGTTCACAAGTTCTTCTGAATAAGTTAATGGAAGTAGAAATAATGATAATATAGTTTATGAAAGAAGTAACTGTATCTCAACCAGCCTGATAAACCCTACTATTGGACAAAAGGCCTTATCAGCACTGAATATACTAATACAGCATATTCAACATTTCATGTACATATTCTTCACTTTCACTCGTACATTCTTAGAATTACATTAAATATTGAAGTTATATTTGAATAATTGGAATATTGACATTACCTGCCATATTCTCCAAAACTTATCTAGTCTTACCAGATGCATACCCCACAGTGAGTAAAAAAAACAAAAAACATTCAAGAATGAAATATTCTAAAAACAATATTATATTCTGTTATTCTTGGCACAAACTACATCTAATCACTTTCTCCATAAAACCACAGCTTCCAAAACACCATTTTATTGACTACATTTAGTATTTACTTAAATAGTTTGTAATCTACAGCTATTTTTGAAACAGGATTCATAAGAGAACATAGACTGTACTAATAAAATCAGAAAGAAGGAATGTTATATAAAAGGCTAAATGTTGATATCATTACTCATAGAGGATGAAAAATTCTAAAGAAAAAAAAACAGAAATATCCATTGTTTGGGGTAAGTATTATCAAAGCTGTGCAGAAATGCAAAATTAACACTTTCCTTTGCAAATTACCCTAGATTAAATTTAATAATGCTTCTAAATAACTTTTGGACCATTATCCTTATCAACTCGGATTCAAGGAGTATGTTCCTATTTTGACAGTTACTAGTACATTCCTTATTGTTATCCTTTCGTCATGGTACAGCAAGTGGTCTGAACAATTACTACTAATTTACTAGTCCAAACACACTATGAAAGTAATTGTAGGCAATATATATAAACATTTATTATTCACATTATATACAATTTGCCACGGTAAATAGTGATTTGGAAAACAATTCACGGCTCTTCATTAAAAATTAATTTACCTTTAAGTGATTAGTGCTAGTATTAACTATTAATATTAATGTTACGAGTTTCTGTATAGATCAAAGAAATCTAACGAGATGTTTAAAAGCTTTAGAATTTTTTAGCTTAAGTTTAAAAGCTTTATTTTTTTGGGTCTGAAAAGTCTTAAATTCTATATTTCATAGTTAGGTTAAACGTTTATTCTTGTAACACTTTCACTACGATTATGATGTCATAATGGCGACGTATATGCTTAAAATATTTAATTTTAAAATAAACTATTTTCTGTCACAAAAACTTACCCTAATCTTCACCTAAGTATATAACAAAGAGTTAAAACAAACTTGCTTTGATGAAACGTTATTATTTATTCGAATTATCCAGGCAAGTACAACTACTACTGAAATAATACTACTAGTAGAACTTATAACTGAGTTATACTTAAAACTTAATAGTATAACTTGTACTTAGTATAAGTACAATGAACTTATTAATATTATGCTAAAGTAAAAACTTACTTCCATAACAATTCTACCCAACGGTTGGCCGCCAGCAGTGACATCGAAAAATACCTTTGGATTACTCATTTTATGTTAGCAAAGATTATAACTTTCACTGAATTAACCGGAACCGCTCCTAACAAAAGACAATACCCACTAATGGCGTCACCGTTGTTCCTCGTACGTACCTCCTCGTAACTATGGCGATACAAGTTTGCGCGCACGTGCCTTTTTATAGGAGTGCCGTGAAAGGCGGTAATAATGGCTGAACTGGAGGGAACAAAGTTATATCTTCTTTCCTTATCCACCTACTTTCTAGCTCAAATGCAAACTAATTTTATAATTTTAAATTTAAGAGAAAATTATAATTTAAATGAACACTTTCAGAAACAATTATCAATGTATTTCAGATCTTGTTTGCATATCGGATAATTTCAACATAACTACTAATGTAAACCCCGTAGGCTCAATTTCTCTAAGACGCTTCACTCGTCAATGTATACTTGCACACAATGAAAAGGTGAAACAAAATTACAGAATTATTTATATGTATATATGTTAAATATTTCTTTTCTTCTTCACACCCTTCGGTTAATTTACGTTACTTTATGGTGAAGTAAAACGGACTCAAAACCCAATAGAAATTACAGAATTATATTGCTATTACTTTTTTAATATTAAGATAGACTTCTTTGGTTTACAATGCCAAATATATTGTTAGGTCTCTGTGTTGTTACTTAATTTTCCGTAAAAACTTTAGTGATACAAGTCCTTTCTCAAATAAAACTGGTTTATTCTTTCTGAATACAACTTTGCAATACACTTAATTTCCACAGACACGCTATAACAAACGCTATAATTCACAACGAACGACTCACGTGCTCGACTCAATCGTCAATCTCTGTCTGCAGTTCAATTACATTGTTGCCGTCAGTTCTTACCGGTCTTATATATAGAAGAATATCGCATATCTACTAACATCCCGAGACTTCAGGAAGGGACAGGATCCTTCTAGAAGCTCATGACGTGTTACTAGCGTCAAGTGACTTCCACTGTCGTAACATTGCCCCTTCCTTATTATTGTTCGGGACGAACAATAGCCACTTACATTAAACCAATAAACAATTAACAATAACTTAATTAAATGTACAGAATTTACAAACACAAAACTACAATTCAACAAAGTATCTTAATTTTACGGGACGTATCTTCTTCCGTACTGGTCTCCGTCTCGTTGGCTTATGCTTCATGTGGAGTTCATCTGCTTCATCAGGAAATGTCTTATCATCGGTAACAGTCACATCAGTGGTAGTAACTTCGTCAAGGGCTTCACTGTTTCCCTTCTCAAAACCGGGTAGAGTTTCTTCTTCGACAGTGGCTTTTTCAGGTGACACGTCTTCAGCAGCGTCATTTGTTCCATTGTACACTTCAATCCAACTGAAATGTCCTGGACCATGATAATGCCAAAGCCTGTTGGCATGCGCCACCTCTGGCTTACCTCGCCGACCACATTTTATCCGGAAAGTCATAGTCTGAGAGACGATTCACTATGTCATATGGGCCTTCCCATGGAGAAGACAACTTAGGAAACTTCCCTTTGATCTTCCTTGGATTATACAACCACACCCTGTCTCCTGGTACAAAGCTGACTTCAGTAGATCTCTTATCATAAGATAATTTCATCGAATCAGCAGAAATTTTCAAGTTTGAACGCACATGATGGTGAATATCATCCATCTTTTCCGATCAAACTTTCATAAACTCTGACACATTTTCAGGCAACCCTTCATAAGGTGGACGTCCTGTTAACAGATCCACTGGCGACCGAAGTTCCCGACCAAACATCAACTTTGCTGGATTGTATCCAGTGGCTTCATGCTCTGCTGTCCTATAGGCCAGGGGTCACCAAACTTTTTTCACAGCAGGCCAAATAACTGAGAGAATGACGAGCACGGACCGCATAACCATTTTGTTCAATACAATACAGTGAATACAAAAAAAATAAGACAACAAACATGTTTATTTACCAAAAAGTTATCAAAGAAGGCGACGTTAGCAATAAGATAGTTACATCACACCCAGTGCGCACATATCCAAATCTCACAAACTAAGCAGCAAAAAAGGTTTGTGAGATTTGTGAAACTGGCGTTTTAGCTTTTGAGATATCATCAATATTTGCTTTGGAATTGCTGCATCCAACC